TACCATCGGCCACTCCACCCCCACAACTCCCAATCGGTGATGGGGCAGTTGTGGAGAGAGTGGAGAGTTTCCCATACCTGGGCAGTGTGCTTATGACTGGCTCCAGTTTAACAGCAGAGGTCTCACTCCGAATCAGTCGAGCGGCAATATCTTTTCATCGGTTGCGTAACGCTGTGTGGAAGCTACCTGGTCTGTCGCTACGCACTAAGCTTCAGGTCTTCTCGGCCACGGTCATTCCCTCCCTTCTCTACGCTTGCGAAACGTGGACCCCCCTGATGGAACATCTTCGCCGGTTGGAAACATTTAGGCTGGCCTGCCTACGATCCATCCTGGGTTTAACCAGACTGGATTAGATGAGGAGCTCACAAATCCTTGAAAGATCTGGGCAAGGTCCCATCGGTGAGCTCCTCCGGCGGGCAAGGCTGCGATGGCTGGGTCATGTAGCCCGCATGCCCAGCCACCGCATGCCGAAACAGCTTCTGTTTGGCTGGATTGATGGGGTTAAGCGGGCGCGGCACGGGCTAGAGAAGAGATAGAGTGATGTGGTACAGGAGGACGTGGAGCTGAGTGGACTTGCCGATGACTGATACCAGCGGTGTCAAGATCGGCCTCTGTGGAGGAGGCTCGTGAAGGATGCTACTGGGCAGTTGGAGGTAGTCGCCCTCCAACAACAACGGAGGGCGGAGGAACGACGCTCAGAACAACGAGCGGAGCGCCGGGTGGCTAAAGCACAGCAGGTTGGCACAGTAGGGGGCACAGGTGGTGCATCAGCCAGTCATCTCAGTCAGTCGACCCGTGGCACCTGGGTCTGCCCCGTGACCTCCTGCCAGCGGGCGTTCGACACTTCACGTGGCCTCAGGGTGCACATGGCCTGGCACAAGCGTCGTGGTGATGTCACCGCCACTTAGTGGCGAATGGCGGTTGTTGTTGTGTGTGTAGTGGTGTGCGTGTGTAGTGCGTGGTGTGTGTGTGTGTAGTGGTGTGTGTGTGTAGTGATGTGTGTGTAGTGCGTGGTGTGTGTGTGTAGTGGTGTGTGTGTGTAGTACGTGGTGTGTGTGTGTAGTGGTGTGTGTAGTGGTGTGTGTGTAGTGGTCTGTGTGTGTGTAGTGGTGTATGTGTGTGTAGTGTGTGTGTGTAGTGGTGTGTGTGTGTAGTCGTGTGTGTGTGTAGTGGTGTGTGTGTAGTGGTGTGTGTGTGTAGTGGTGTGTGTGTGTGGTGGTGTGTGTGTGTAGTGGTGTGTGTGTGTAGTGGTGTGTGTGTGTAGAGCGTGGTGTGTGTAGTGGTGTGTGTGTGTAGTGGGGTGTGTGTGTGTAGTGGTGTGTGTGTGTAGTGGTGTGTGTTTGTGTGTGTAGTGGTGTGTGTGTGTAGTGGTGTGTGTGTGTAGTGGTGTGTGTGTGTAGTGGTGTGTGTGTGTGTGTGTAGTACGTGGTGTGTGTGTGCTCAAGTGACCAGCCCGGCCAAGGCAAACAGACGTTGCCTTTGAAGCACAGACACTGCCAGTGTGGCCGCGCCAGCAAGGGGATCTGAGAGCCAGCATCCTCCGCGGTCTCTATGAATGATTCTACTATCCCTTTGACTCCAGCCTCACCGCCACCACCGCCACCAAGCACGCCTACAACGCAAAGTGCCCATCTCTCCGTGCCACTCAACACGGAGGCTGTCAACGGGAACACAGCGATACCTTGAGGCTGGCTCTATGAGCCCCCGGTGTTAACCCTGAACCTTGAATTACTAATGTTGTCTTTAGTCTGGCTCTATGAGCCCCCGGTATTAACAGTGAACCATTAATTACTAATGGTGTCTTTAGTCTGGCTGTATGAGCCCCCGGTATTAACAGTGAACCATTAATTACTAATGGTGTATTTAGTCTGGCTCTATGAGCCCCCGGTATTAACACTGAACCATGAATTACTAATGTTGTCTTTAGTCTGGCTCTATGAGCTCCCGGTATTAACACTGAACCATTAATTACTAATGGTGTATTTAGTCTGGCTCTATGAGCCCCCGGTATTAACACTGAACCATGAATTACTAATGTTGTCTTTAGTCTGGCTCTATGAGCCCCCGGTATTAACACTGAACCATGAATTACTAATGTTGTCTTTAGTCTGGCTCTATGAGCCCCCGGTATTAACAATGAACCATAAATTACTAATGATGTCTTTAGTCTGGCTCTATGAGCCCCCGGTATTAACACTGAACCATGAATTACTAATGTTGTCTTTAGTCTGGCTCTATGAGCCCCCGGTATTAACCCTGAACCATGAATTACTAATGTTGTCTTTAGTCTGGCTCTATGAGCCCCCGGTATTAACAATGAACCATGAATTACTAATGGTGTCTTTAGTCTGGCTCTATGAGCCCCCGGTATTAACCCTGAACCATGAATTACTAATGATGTCTTTAGTCTGGCTCTATGAGCCCGTGGTATTAACACTGAACCATGAATTACTAATGATGTCTTTAGTCTGGCTCTATGAGCCCCCGGTATTAACACTGAACCATAAATTACTAATGGTGTCTTTAGTCTGGCTCTATGAGCCCCCGGTATTAACCCTGAACCATGAATTACTAATGATGTCTTTAGTCTGGCTCTATGAGCCCGTGGTATTAACAATGAACCATGAATTACTAATGTTGTCTTTAGTCTGGCTCTATGAGCCCGTGGTATTAACACTGAACCATGAATTACTAATGATGTCTTTAGTCTGGCTCTATGAGCCCCCGGTATTAACCCTGAACCATGAATTACTAATGATGTCTTTAGTCTGGCTCTATGAGCCCGTGGTATTAACAATGAACCATGAATTACTAATGTTGTCTTTAGTCTGGCTCTATGAGCCGCCGGTATTAACCCTGAACCATGAATTACTAATGATGTCTTTAGTCTGGCTCTATGAGCCCCCGGTATTAACACTGAACCATAAATTACTAATGATGTCTTTAGTCTGGCTCTATGAGCCCGCGGTATTAACAATGAACCATGAATTACTAATGTTGTCTTTAGTCTGCCTCTATGAGCCCCGGTGTTAACCCTGAACCATGAATTACTATTGGTGCCCTGAGTCTGGCTCTACGAGCCCCCGGTATTCTGTAACTCTTTAACAATCCTAATAGCACCTTAGTCTGCCTCTATGAGCCATTGGGCATTCATGTTGAACTTTAAGACTCTTAAAGGTGCATTATCTATTCATTCCCGGGGGTGTGAGAGGGGGGGGGGGTGACCACTCCCTTAACCCCCCGCCCCTCCCCCCATCACCCCCCTCCCCCTCGATCACCGATTCGGTCTCGAAACCCTGAGATGCATTTCGAGCCTGAGCCCAGGAGCCTATTGATGCCATCGTGGACATTAGCCAGCTCGGTGCGTCTGGGGTTGGCGAGGAGACGTTGACTACCTCGAGAGCTCAGTGGGCCACGTGGAGCTGTACACAGCAGCCAGCAGCAGCAGCAGCTGCTGCGGCTGATGTAGATGCAGGGCAACAGCTTGAAAGCTTACATTCGGGTGGTCAAGCAGGACAGCTGCGCCAGGAGTCGCGGGTAGCAGTGTGTGTGTGTGTTGTCTCCCTCGTAAATGTTCTAAACGCACGCGGCCACGGGGAGAGAGAGAGAGAGAGACGCAGCCTCCAAATATACAACAGGGGTCGGGATCGAACCCACGACCTCCTGCATATGCCAGGCTAGGTAGTTAACATCTCCTAGCCACCGTGGTGATGATGATGAGAGAGAGACACGCAGCCTCCATATATACAGCAGGAGTCAGGGTCGGGATCGAACCCACGACCTCCTGTGTACCAGGCGAGGTAGTTAACATCTCCTAGCCACCGTGATGATGATGAGAGAGAGAGAGACACGCAGACTCCAAATATACAGCGGGCGTCAGGGTCGGGATTGAACCCGCGACCTCCTGTGTACCAGGCGAGGTAGTTAACATCTCCTAGCCACCGTGGCGCCCCATAATCCATCCGCCGGGACCTTTCCCGGCCTCGCGCTAACGAGGAGAAGGAGGAGGAGACGGAGGGAGCTGCTGCAGTCGAAGTTTTCTTTAACCATCGCTGCCGTTCCCCGTGGTTGAAATGGGGGGTGGGTGTGGGTGGGTGGGGGGGTCCACCAGCGCATCCTTCCAATCCCGTGGAACCCATCCTGTGGCCCAAGCAGTCCAAGTCACGTCATGCTCGCTCGCTCTCTCGCTCGCTGGCTGGCTGGCTGGCTCGCTTTGCTGCACCAAATCAAATACAAAGAGTTGGGGCAACCACAGATGCACGCTCCCCCCTTTGCGCGGGGGCAGATTTATTCGCGTTTTCGATGGGCGCGTTGGAGCAAGTCCAAGGAGGAGTAACGGAGCAATAAAACATCGACCGCGTGCAGGGGGAGGGCGCGAGGCCGAACCCCTTGCTGGGGCAAGGGGGAGCGGTGGCGCAGCGGTTAGCGCTGCGCCGCGAACCCGACTGCGAGCCGAGTAAGATTGGTGGCTCACGGCCAAAGGACCTTCCGACGATTGTCTGAATCTGGTCATGGGGCCTCCCCTACGTCGAATTCAGCCTGGTGCGGTGTGAAAACATCGGGGAGACAAAGGCGGCCGGGCGTGGTGCTGGCCACCACCACCACCCCCCCCCCCCCCCCCACCCACCCACCCCTCGCTTCGTGTGCTGTGCCGGCCTTCATCAGTTGCGAATCGCGAGCGGCCGCTTCAGATCAATCGTCGGCGGCCGTGAGCGGGAATCAACCAACGTGGAGCCACAGCCGCTTTGGCAGGGAGGGCCAGCGCGCTAACCACTGCGCCACCGCTCCTTCGGACACGCGCGCGCGCAGAGAGAATGCAGACGCGGACGAACCTCTCTCTCTCATCTCGCGTGGCGCGGTCTGCTGCCTCGCTTAGAGCTCGCAAGGGGCAGTTTGCCTCCGTCATGTGGTTTTCATATTAGCGAATAAAGTTTACGTCGGGGGGGGGAGGAGGAGGAGGTGGGTGGGCCCCTTCGCTCGGAACGCGCAGGGACATTTCAATGGCGCTGTGCGGAGCGGGAGGAATGTTCGTCGGGGTGTTTGGCCGCTGCTTTAAATTTACACACGACGACGAAGACGAAGACGACGACGATCAGCCACTGCGTCGAGCAGATGTCGTTCGTGGGCAGCCAGGTGGCTTCTGATGAGGGAGCCGTGTGGCTCAGTGTGTGTCGGTGTGTGGTGGGGGTGCTTTAGACCTGGTGTACAGGAGGTCGTGGGTTCTATCCCGACCCTGACGCCTGCTGCTGCTGCTGTATATTTGGAGTTTGCGGTGTCTTTCTCTCTCGTCATCATCATCACGGTGGCTAGGAGATGTTGACTACCTCGCCTGGTGTACAGGAGGTCGTGGGTTCTATCCCGACCCTGACGCCTGCTGCTGCTGCTGTATATTTGGAGTTTGCGGTGTCTCTCTCTCTCGTCATCATCATCACGGTGGCTAGGAGATGTTAACTACCTCGCCTGGTGTACAGGAGGTCGTGGGTTCGATCCTGACCCTGACGCCTGCTGCTGTATATTTGGAGTTTGCGTGTCTCTCTCATCATCATCATCACGGTGGCTAGGAGATGTTAACTACCTCGCCCGGTGTACAGGAGGTCGTGGGTTCTATCCACGTGGTCGCCTGGATTTTCTCCCGGGTCCTCCGGTTTTCCCCCTGCACACGTTTAGAATACACATCGCGCGTTTAGAGTATGTGGTGTACATTTCCACTTGATGATGACGTTCATGATGATGATGAAGCCACTTCGTTGGGCAATCATTGGCGATGGCCAGGTCGATTCTGAAAGAGATCCGCACAGCTCGGTTGGAACCTTACGGTCGTAACAAAACAAAAAAAAAGTTAATGTAATATAAACAGCGTATATAGTCCACGACGATGTTCAAATTATAAAATAACACATGACCATTGATCATAGGCTGCCGAGGGTCGGTTACGACCACACCGCGGTTGTATTTTTGGCGAGGCGAGCGAGACAGTGTCGCTCCTGTAGTGCCGCTCGTTGTGCCGCTCTCTCTCGTTCCCTCGCTCTGTCTGCACCTCGGTGGTAAGACGAATGCCCAACATTCTAGTAGCCACCCAACAGATTCTGGCACGACTGTCAAAAAACATAAAAATAAAAAACGCCTTCTTCTTCTTCTTCCTCCAGTGACAGGTACTGCTGGCGCACACAGAACGACCCGCGGAAGCGGTTCACACAGAGCTACCTCTGGGATCCCTTCTTCTCGTGGCGCTCTGCTACACGGAACGTCGGACTAATTGATAGCATAGGCCTAATGATTGAAGTGTACGTTTCTTCTCAATGTAAACCGGATATAGGTCTCTCTGTAAGTCTATGGGTCTCTGTGTCAGTCTATGGGTCTCCATGTGAGTCTAGGGATCTCTCTGTGAGTCTATGGGTCGCTCTGTAAGTTTATGGATCTATCTGTGAGTCTATGGGTCTCTGTGTGAGTCTATGGGTCTCTGTGTCAGTCTATGGGTCTCCATGTGAGTCTAGGGATCTATCTGTGAGTCTATGGGTCTCTGTGTGGGTCTATGGGTCTCTGTGTCAGTCTATGGGTCTCTGTTTGAGTCTATGGGTCGCTGTGTGAGTCTATGGGTCTCCATGCGAGTCTAGGGATCTCTCTGTGAGTCTATGGGTCGCTCTGTAAGTTTATGGATCTATCTGTGAGTCTATGGGTCTCTGTGTGAGTCTATGGGTCTCTGTGTGAGTCTATGGGTCGCTGTGTGAGTCTATGGGTCTCTGTGTGAGTCTATGGGTCGCTGTGTGAGTCTATGGGTCGCTGTGTGAGTCTATGGGTCTCTGTGTGAGTCTATGGGTCTCTGTGTGAGTCTATGGGTTTCTGTGTGAGTCTATGGGTCTCTGTGTGAGTCTATGGGTTTCTGTGTGAGTCTATGGGTCTCTGTATGAGTCTATGGCTCTCTGTGTGAGTCTCATAGGTTTCTGTCTGAGTCTATAAGTCTCTGTTTGAGTCTAGAGATCTCTGTGTGAGTCATTGGTGACTGGGCTGAGACCATCAACTCACTGCACTTGGTAACCCGGTTTAAACCACGGGCAACGGTTGACACTCGGAGTTGAACCCAGGCCCTGAGCGTTGGCGGCTCAGCGGCGACCCTTGACCTCTGAGCCACGTGGCCCAACGATTTTGCGCCACGGTGGCTAGGAGATGTTAACTACCTCGCCAGGTATGCACGTGGTCGTGGGTTCGATCCCGACCCTGACGCCTGCTGCTGTATATTTGGAGTCTGCGTGTCTCTCTCTCTCTCATCATCATCACGGTGGCTAGGAGATGTTAACTACCTCGCCTGGTGTACAGGAGGTCGTGGGTTTGATCCCGACCCTGACGCCTGCTGCTGCTGCTGTATATTTGGAGTTTTCGGTGTCTCTCTCTCTCCGTGGTCGCGTGGATTTTTCTCCGGGTCCTCCGGTTTATTTCCCCCTCCAGATTAATAATCAACGACGCCACGCGCTCAGATGATTTGACTGCTGCAATAAATGTCCACTTGATGATGATAACGACGACGATAAGCCCAATTCGTTGAGCTACCATTAAGGTCTCTTCTGATGAAGAGGTGAGTGGCTCAGTGGGGGGGGGGGGGGGGGGGGGGCTTACCTGGTAAAATAAAAACAGCAACTTCATTAAATAGTTCACGGAGTAAATTCTCGACCGCTATTTGAACTCGCAGCTTTCTGTTCGTGAGATTTTTTTTAAAATGTTGTGTTTGCGAAGCCACACGTACATTTAACTTTATAGGGGCGGTGGGGGTTGTGGGGGCGGTGGGGGTTGTGGGGGCGGTGGGGGTTGGGGGCGGTGGGGGTTGGGGGTTGGGGGCGGTGGGGGTTGGGGGCGGTGGGGGTTGGGGGCGGTGGGGGTTGGGGGTGGGGGGCGGTGGGGGGTTGGGGGCGGTGGGGGTTGGGGGTTGGGGGTGGGGGGCGGTGGGGGTTGGGGGCGGTGGGGGTTGGGGGTGGGGGGCGGTGGGGGGTTGGGGGCGGTGGGGGTTGGGGGTTGGGGGTGGGGGGCGGTGGGGGTTGGGGGCGGTGGGGGTTGGGGGTGGGGGGCGGTGGGGGTTGTGGGCGGTGGGGGTTGGGGGCGGTGGGGGTTGGGGGTGGGGGGCGGTGGGGGTTGTGGGCGGTGGGGGTTGGGGGTGGGGGGCGGTGGGGGTTGGGGGCGGTGGGGGTTGGGGTGGGGGGCGGTGGGGGTTGGGGGCGTTGGGGGTTGTGGGCGGTGGGGGCGGTGGGGGGTTGGGGGCGGTGGGGGTTGGGGGTTGGGGGTGGGGGGCGGTGGGGGTTGGGGGTGGGGGGGCGGTGGTGGTTGGGGGCGGTGGGGGTTGGGGGTGGGGGGCGGTGGGGGTTGGGGGCGGTGGGGGTTGTGGGTGAGGGGCAGTGGGGGTTGGGGGTGGGGGGCGGTGGGGCTTGTGGGCGGTGGGGGTTGGGGGGCGGTGGGGGGTGGGGGTTGTAGACGGTGAGATGTCCCCGTCGAAGCGAACAAGAGTTCACTGTTAGCGCGCTGTCATGTCGGGCCTTGAGTTGCATCGCCACTGCGGTGGCGGCGGTGGGGAAGAGGAGAGGAGGGGGAGGGGGGAGAAGAGGAGGGGGAGGAGGGGGAGGAGGGGGAGGAGGGGGAGGAGGAGGGGGAGGAGGGGGGGAGGAGGGGGGGGGAGGAGGGGGGAGAGGAGGAGGGGGAGGAGGGGGGGAGGAGGAGGAGGGGGAGGAGGGGGAGGAGGAGGAGGGGGAGGAGGGGGAGGAGGAGGAGGAGGAGGAGGAGGGGGTGGAGGGGGGGGGAGGAGGGGGGGAAGGAGGGGGGGAGTGAAATCCTCGCTGTTGCCTTTTGAGAGCAGCGCGCTGAGAAGCTCCACAGCTCCGCCCCCCCCCCCCCGCTTCTTCGTCTCCCCCCTCCGCGCCCTCCCCCCGCCCCCCTCCCCCCGCCCCCCGCCCCCCCTCCCCCCGCCCCCCGCGGGGCCCCCAGGGAGTCGGCGGAGGCGGCAGACAGCGAAGTCGACGGCGAGGCTGGCGGTGACGAGGCCACGTGGTGTGAGATGCCAAGCGCCGAAATTTTGCCCGTGCGGAGGTGGTGCTGGTGGTGGTGGTGCTGGTGGTGGTGCTGGTGGTAGTGGTGGTGGTGGTGCTGGTGGTAGTGGTGGTGGTGGTGCTGGTGGTAGTGGTGGTGCTGGTGGTGGTGGTGGTGGTGCTGGTGGTAGTGGTGGTGCTGGTGGTGGTGGTGGTGGTAGTGGTGGTGCTGGTGGTGGTGGTGGTGCTGGTGGTGGTGGTGGTGCTGGTGGTAGTGGTGCTGGTGGTGGTGCTGGTGGTGGTGGTGCTGGTGGTGGTGCTGGTGGTGGTGCTGGTGGTGGTGCTGGTGGTAGTGGTGGTGCTGGTGGTGGTGGTGGTGCTGGTGGTAGTGGTGGTGCTGGTGGTGGTGGTGGTGCTGGTGGTGGTGCTGGTGGTAGTGGTGGTGCTGGTGGTGGTGGTGGTGCTGGTGGTAGTGGTGGTGCTGGTGGTGGTGGTGGTGCTGGTGGTGGTGGTGGTGTTGGTGGTGGTGGTGCTGGTGGTGGTGGTGGTGCTGGTGGTATTGGTGGTGCTGGTGGTAGTGGTGGTGCTGGTGGTGGTGCTGGTGGTGGTGGTGGTGCTGACGGTGGTGCTGGTAGTGCTGGTGGTGGTGGTCCTGGTGGTGGTGCTGGTGGTGGTGGTGGTGCTGGTGGTAGTGCTGGTGGTGGTGCTGGTGCTGGTGGTGCTGGTGGTGGTGGTCCTGGTAGTGGTGGTGCTGGTGGTGCTGGTGGTACTGATAGTGGTGGTGCTGGTGGTGCTGGTGGTACTGATAGTGGTGGTGCTGATGGTAGTGGTGCAGTTGTGGAGAGAGTGCAGAGTTTCCCATACCTGAGACGTGTGCCTATGACCAGCTCCGGTTTGACAGCAGAGGTCTCACTCCGAATCAGTCGAGCGGCAATATCTTTTCATCGCCTAAGTAACGCTGTGTGGAAGCTACCTGGTCTGTCGCTCCGCACTAAGCTTCAGGTCTTCTCGGCCACGGTCATTCCCTCCCTTCTCTACGCTTGCGAAACGTGGACCCCCCTAATGGAAAATCTTCGCCGGTTAGAAACATTCAGGCTGGCCTGCCTACGATCCGTCCTGAGTTTAACCAGGCTGGATTGTGTGAGGAGCTCACAAATCCTTGAAAGATCTGGACACATTCCCATCGGTGAGCTCCTCCCGCGGGCAAGGCTGCGATGGCTGGGTCATGTAGCCCGCATGCCCAGCCTCCGCATGCCTAAACAGATTTTGTTCGGCCGGATCGAGGGGGCTATACGGGCGCGGCACGGGCTAGATAAGGGATGGAGTGACGTGGTACAGGAGGATGTGGAGCTGAGTGGACTTGCCGATGACTGGTACCAGCGGTGTCAAGATCGGCCTCTGTGGAGGAGGCTCGTGAAGGACACTACTGGGCAGTTGGAGGCAGTCGCCCTCCAAAAAGAACGGAGGGCGGAGGAGCGACGCTCACAACAACGAACGGAGCGCCAAGTGGCTAAAGCATAACAAATTGGCACAGTAGGGGCCACAGGTGGTCCGTCTGCATGGGATCGAGTGTTTCCCCGTCGCTTGCACGCGTGGGGTTTCTCTGGGTGCTCCGGTTTCCTCCCACGTGCCAGAAACACTCATTGATTAGTTGAAAACATCTTCATCTTTAGACACGCAAACTCCAAATATACGGCGGGCGTCAGGATTTGGATCGAACCCACGACCTCCTGTACACCAGGCGAGGTAGTCAACATCTCCTAGCCACCGTGATGATGATGAGAGAGAGAGAGACACCGCAAACTCCAAAAATACGGCAGGCGTCAGGATCGGGATCGAACCCACGACCTCCTGTACACCAGGCGAGGTAGTTAGCATCTCATAGCCACCACGGCGCCCAAACATTGCGGTGTTAATCGGAAAATGAATGAGTGAGAGGACTTCGCGAGGGAGAGAGGGGGGCTGGAGGTGCTTCGAATCGCAATGGGTCTCACCGCTGGTTGAATCAGGGATTGAATGTATCTGTGGAATTTCCAGTAATAAGGGGAGAGAGGGGAGGCTGGTTGGACGTTAAGTGGGTTGCAGGGGAGATAGGAATTTATATTTTGAGGTCGCTAAATTCGTCAAAGGCACATTTCACACGTCCTTCTCCCAGCGAATGTCAGCAGTGGGGAATGAATGGTGGCACTGTGACTGAATGGGTCATCTGTGTCTGCGTATGCAGTTGCGAATGCGGTCTATGACACACCCAAACACACACACACCTGCACACACACACACCTGCACGCACACACACACACACAACCATACACACACATACACCTACACACACACACATCTACACACACACCCCCATACACACACACCCCCATACACAACAACCGCCATTCGCCACTAAGTGGCGGTGACGTCACCACGACGCTTGTGCCAGGCTATGTGCACCCTGAGGCCACGTGAAGTGTCGAACGCCCGCTGGCAGGTGGTCACGGGGCAGACCCAGGTGCCACGGGTCGACTGACTGAGATGACTGGCTGATGCACCACCTGTGCCCCCTACTGTGCCAACCTGCTGTGCTTTAGCCACCCGGCGCTCCGCTCGCTGTTGTGAGCGTCGATCCTCCGCCCTCCGTTGTTGTTGGAGGGCGACTGCCTCCAACTGCCCAGTAGCATCCTTCACGAGCCTCCTCCACAGAGGCCGATCTTGACACCGCTGGTACCAGTCATCGGCAAGTCCACTCAGCTCCACGTCCTCCTGTACCACATCACTCCATCTCTTCTCTAGCCCGTGCCGCGCCCGCTTAGCCCCCTCAATCCGGCCAAACAAAAGCTGTTTCGGCATGCGGTGGCTGGGCATGCGGGCTACATGACCCAGCCATCGCAGCCTTGCCTGCCGGAGGAGCTCACCGATGGGACCCTGCCCAGATCTTTCAAGGATTTGTGAGCTCCTCACACAATCCAGTCTGGTTAAACCCAGGATGGATCGTAGGCAGGCCAGCCTAAATGTTTCTAACCGGCGAAGATGTTCCATTAGGGGGGTCCACGTTTCGCAAGCGTAGAGAAGGGAGGGAATTACCGTGGCCGAGAAGACCTGAAGCTTAGTGCGGAGCGACAGACCAGGTAGCTTCCACACAGCGTTACGCAACCGATGAAAAGATATTGCCGCTCGACTGATTCGGAGTGAGACCTCTGCTGTTAAACTGGAGCCAGTCATAAGCACACTGCCCAGGTATGGGAAACTCTCCACTCTCTCCACAACTGCCCCATCACCGATTGGGAGTTGTGGGGGTGGAGTGTCCGATGGTACAAAATACCCAGGCAGGTGCTTAGTTTTGGTGGGGCTGATGGTAAGGCCCCACCTCTTAGTGGCACGCTCCAGTCTCAGCAGCAGCGTCTCCAACTCCTCCTCTGACTGAGCAGCTATTACCAAGTCATCAGCATACATAACGTGGTTGAGCAATAGGGAGCCATCCCTTGACCGCACCCGGGCATCGATTAGCCTCCCATTATATCTGTACCATATGGAGATTCCCCCGGTACAGCTATTGAAGGCTTCACGAACTACGTGGTCAAAATAGATGTTAAATAATGTGGGAGCCAGAGGACATCCCTGTCGCACCCCAAGGTGTACAGGGAATGGCTCTGACTCCCGGCCACGTAGTTTTACCCGGGCCCGCTCACCATCATGAAGGTCCTTAATGATCGTGAGCAGAGGGTCAGGTACTCCAAAAGCACGAAGAACGACCCAGAGCCCAGGCCTACTGATGGTATCATAGGCCTTGACCAGGTCAATAAAGCAGAGATGTAGGTCTTGTTGGAATTCCCTACACCTCTGCTGTAGCAGACGGACAGAAAATATGGCATCTGTGCAGGACCGCCCTTTCCTGAAACCGCATTGGGGCTCCGCAAGCCTCTCCTCAGCGTGCCTGGCAAGGCGATGCTGAATAATCCTTGCCAGGACCTTTCCCGGCACACTGAGGAGTGAGATGCCCCTGTAGTTGTTACAGTCTGTGCGGTCCCCCTTCTTAAAAAGGGGGACCACCAGGGCATCCTTCCAATCCTGCGGAACCCGTCCAGTGGTCCAGACTGTTGTTATGATGTCATATAGGGCAGTCTGTGCACAAACGCCACCCTCCCTCAGCATTTCGCTTGGGAGATCATCTCTGCCCGCTGCCTTTCCTGGTCTCAGACTCCGGATCGCCTTCAATACTTCCTCAGCAGATGGCACCTCAGCCAGCCACTCACAGGGGGTGACTTCATCCAATATTTGAGGCACCGCAGCCTCAGCAGGGTCATCCTCACTTTGTGCCACGGTGTTTTCCTGGCTGAGGGATTTTCCCTCCCCCAGGACCTCACAGAAATGCTCAGCAAATCTGCGAACCTGTTCCTGGGGGTCGGAAATTGGATCACCGTTTTTTCCCCTAATGATGGTAATAGGTGTGGCACTGCAGGTTACTTTTTTGATGGAGTTAAATAGAGATTTGTGATCACGGGCCACTGAGGCAGACTCCATCTCCTCAGCAACCCGCGACCACCACCCATCCTTGCAGCGGCTCACGGCTCTCCGAACCTCCGAGCGAAGGCTGCGGTAAGCCTCCTCATTCTCTGACGTGGGATTCTGTAGCCGATGACAGTGGGCCTGTTGCTTTTTCTCAACCATCCTGAACAACTCCTCTGTCATCCAGGGTGTCTGGGGAGGTCTGGACCGCGTACCCAAAGCAGCCATTGCAGCTGCATGAGTCACAGTCCTAATCCTCGCCCATTTACCCTCGACATCAGGAGGAGTCGGGGACGATGCCAATCCCAGCCGCAAGCGATGATGAAATTCTCGCTTGCAACTTTCATCAGATAACTGAGACCAGGCCACTTTAGGTTGGAATGGGGTCCTGGGTGTACACCCACCACCGGAGTGGAAGAATGGCAGGCGCATCTTACAGATGACTAGTCGATGGTCAGAGGGCAGATCAGCTCCACGGTAGGTCCTGGTGTCAAGGACATGGGCTCGCATTCGCTGGTCCGTCACTATGTAGTCCAGCAGATGTCCTTGCTTGGACCCGGCATGCATCCATGATGTTGTGTGGATGCGCCGATGCCGGAACAGCGTGTTGGTAATTACAAGCCCATGGGCTGCACAAAAATCTAGCAGCCTCCTACCGTTGTTATTGAGCTGATCTGGCCCATGCCCTCCAATCACTCCAGACCAGGTGCCAGTATCATGACCAACTCGGGCATTGAAGTCACCCAACATGATGACTCTATCCCGAGGGGCCACTTTAGCCAGCACCTGTGACAGGAGGTCATAGAAGGCATCTGACTCATCGGCTTTGTCTGCATCCCTCCACGGATGTTCGCCTTCGGTGGGGGCATAAGTAACCACGACCACCATTCCTCGCCTCCGGTTGATGGGAAGGCGAGCCCAAAGTAGCCTGGGGCTTATAGCTTCCCACACCTCACCGCCACGCTCCCACGCCCCCTTCATTCTTTTGTTCAAAAGAAGACCCACACCCTGTTGTT